GTTTAATTATTTGTAATTCGTCTGATTTCTGTTGGTTGTGTGTTCCTTATGTGGCAGGCCTTTGTGCTGTCATTTATCCTTTGATATCTGACTTTTGGCTTTATTTGTTCCTCAGCTCTCTGAAAGAAGCATTTTTTCACCTGCTGAACACCGGCTCTGGACATTCAGACCTCCAACTCAGAAACGATCTGCTCGTGATCACAACTCTCATTGCAGAAAGTCCAGGCTCACAGCTTATTGTGAGTACAGGACAGTTTAATAAATAGCAATTTGTTACTTTTTTTTCCACCCACCGGGTGTTTTTATGAATTTCTTTAATAATTTGAGGTGTTTCTAATTTTCAGGAGAGTTCATTTGCCAAACAGCTTGTGGTTTTCAGCACATTTCCAGAGCGTGAGGGCACTCTATCCTTTAAATGTTGCACACTTTTTTACAAATGACTTCATTATTCATGAATACAGTAGCATCTTTTATGAAAATAAAACTGCTTATTTTTTTATGTTTTAGTGAAAAGTCACAACCCTTTGATCCGCAACCTGAAGCTCAGCTATAGTAACGAAGACTTGAAAATGAAGAAGTTGCTGTTGAATCTGCTGGTTGTTATGTCGAGGGACTCTGCTGCCCTGCAGGTCAGTCACACGCTCACCCAATCATTGTTTAAGTTTGGATAACCTGTGTGATGACTCAGTTTTCTTCTCTCAGCTTTATAAAGAAGAACGTGTTGTTCTGGCTCTGCTGGCGCTCATGAAGCCGCCTGTCGCCTCCTCGTCTGAGCGTCAGTCGGGGTCACGTCACTGGTCCGCTGCGCAGAAGGAGGAGCTCCAGCTGCAGGCGCTGGCCACCCTCGCCACCATCGGGCCGCTCATGTTGGAGGAGTACATTTCCTGTGAGGGGAGTACCTGTCTGCTACTCCTGCTGGACTGGTGTGTTGGGCCAGGTTAGGAAACACAAGAAAAACAAGAACAAGCAGAATCTGTACTGTATCTGAAAGGTTAAAGGTCAAGGGAATTGCAGTGTCCTATCGGAGTGTATTTGAGCCAAACAAAGTCACTTATACACTCACTTTTTGTCATTACCATGATTTGCTACACAACAGACATTTAAACAGCTTTTATCTCTTACTTTTTAATCATACTCTTCAGCTTCTTTTGTCTCTTAAAGGTTATTTTTTTTATACAACTGATAGTTTAACTAGTTTCACAGCTTACAAAATACCTCATAATCACACCCCCAAATCTAACCAAAAATCGCTCTTAAATAATACACATTTCAACTCCTCTCAGCACTTCAGCTGACGCTTTAACTTGTGCCTTATAATCTCTGTCACTTTAACTACTTTCTTTGCCAAAGATATGAAAGCAGGACCCAAACACAGGACTTCCTGTGTAGAGCTCAGTGTGTTTGTTTACAGTAAAGCAAGACAAAGATGCAAATAATCCTCTCCATGCTTCCC